GTAGGGCTAGAAAAGAAAGAGGAAGGAACATCTCCCAGGAGGAACTGCCAATACTGATAGAATAAGAGGAGACAGGACACCACCTGGGAAACTGTGAATGAACCTGAGATAAGGATTGTCCTGCAAAACCTGTGCTGGGATGGCAGTCAGGGAGATCAGGGCAGCCCAGTGTGTCCCCAGCAGGCACTTCAGGGTGTCACCTCACGGTCAGACAGACCTCAGTTCAGCTCTCACCTCCTTCATTTGCAGGAGTGTACTTGAATCTCATTGAACAAGTCACTTAATCTCTTTAAGCCTTAATTTACTCATATGTCTAATGGGGGTAATAAATGAACTTTCTAGACTTTTAGAGGATTGAATGAGGGAATATGCATGATGCCTGGGTCATAATAGTTGCTCACTGAAGGGCAACTACATCCCACTTAGTGGATCAAAACCTTCAAAGCACAAAATGGATAGATTTAGGTGTTTATGACACAGGACACAGCCTGGTGCTTCCTGCAGCAGTACTGAAAAATAGAATTGGTGTGGCTGGTCCTGGTGTGTTTCCATATCGGACCACATTTTACTGGCATAGAAAACAGGGGCTACCGAATGAAGAATCAGGGAAAAGTCTAACTACAATTTGTGCAGCCCAGGTGAGAATCCATTGCAGCTACCAATGATTCTATTTATTGTGTCCCTACCACCCAGCAGGGAAGGATGTGGCTCTTTCCATTTCATTTAACTCTAAAAGCAACTTTGCTTCTTTGCTCCCAGATTGTAGAGAAGGAACAGATTCAAACCAAGTAAGGAACTTTTTCAAGACATACATAATTGGAAAATACAAGAGCTGGGTTTGCATCCTTAGCCTATCTGATTCTAAAAGTGATCTTTTCCCACTAGGCCCTACTGCCTCCATTTCTTGGCCACGACAAGTCTCAACATTTGAGGTACAGATGGTACTAATTACACATGACTTATCAAAAACTACCTTCTTTTCCCAAGTCTGTGTTGCAGGAAACAAATGAGAAGAAAGATGTTCTAGTTAATCTTGATGCAATTGTAAACCATCCCCAAACCTTAATGGTGTAAACAACCACTCCATTACACTCATGGATTGATTCTGTGGGTCACAAATTTGGAAATGGCTTGACTTTGTTCCAGAATGTCCAAGGCTTCATCTGGGAAGATCCAAACAGCTGGGAGGGAGGTGACTCCTCAGCCAGCAAAATGAGATTACCTGGAGATTCTGGGATGACTCAAATGTTGGACTTAGCTGGGGCTGTCAATCACACCTACAGGTAGCTTTTCCAGGTAGCTTATGATCTTTCCAACATAGCAGCCTTACATAGGTGTACTTTTCCATGGAATATCCAACCTTCAAATGTGAGCATCCTAGTCAACAGGGCAGAAGCTACATTGCCATAATGATCTATATGAGAAGTCACGTAGCCTCACTGCCTGAAGTCTATTGGTAGAAGCAACGTTCAGATTCAAGGTTGCTCAGATTCAAGGAGAAGAGAGATTCCATCTAGTAATGGGAGAATTGTCACTGAATGTTATTATAATAACCACCAGGGTATAAAGGTACAAGAAAAATACATGGAAGTGTTTAAGAAAAATGTCTTGCTGCAATTAATGACATGTTTGTTATTTTTCTTTCTTGCTGAGCTTAAAATACTCAGGCCCAAATAATGCTGAACATGAACTGGATTTGATTGTGAGCAAGCTTTCCTTGCTCCTTCCTTAACAGAAGGCCTCAACCTACGAAAGAGATAGCAAGTTCCTGCAGCAGCAGCCACATTTCTGTCCTAGCACCAAACTTCTGAGAGCAATGTTGAAAATTCTGTAACCTACCCAGTCATTTGGGGGTCATGATGACCCAGTGATAGCAGCAGAGATGATAAAGGGGAAGAACAAATGGATCCATTTGTTTAAAGATCAGCTTTTCAACCTTCCTTTTTAAAGTTAAGTGCTCTCAGTTGAATTAAATTTGGGTCATATGTAGAAAGTCTCAGTTTGATTTTTCTTTTTAAAAATAAGTTTCCATAAGTAGGTGTAATTTATTTATTTTCTTCATTTATCCAGCTTAAATTACTTAGGGGCTGTGTTTTGTTGCTCAATCGGGCATTAATGACCCATGTGAAAATGAAAGAGAATGGCTGTGTTTGCGTGAGGCCTGTTCATTAGATTCTATTGTCTAGAAAGGAGGAGTTATTTACTTATTAAAAACTACTGACCTAGATTAATTTCCTGGGTGTCATTATTATCTTGCAGGTGGGACCTTGGACTTGGAGCTTATAGTAACCAGTCCTAATATCATTATGATCTCTAGTTTTTTGAGCAAGACCTTTAAAGAAATGTGCCCCAAGAACAAGTCAAGAATAAACATAAGCAGTGCAGTTTCCAAAAATTTAGAGAATTCTATCACTGTGTTGGTGATAATTGTACATTTAAAGGGGCATTACTCAGAGGCTATGAAGGCTAAAAAGTTTTTTAAAAATCAAATAACTTTAAGCTACCTTTTCTGATTTGAAAATACTTTTTGTTGTTTATCTGTTGCTTATCCTTTATGCCACTCCCCAAACCATCCTATATGGGAGAAAGACGGAGTCTGGCTGATGTGAATTGATGTTTTGCACAATTATGTGAAGATGGCTAAGTTCCTCAAACTTCACGGGCCAGTGGTCTGATTATAATAAAATTGGGAAAAATAACACCTGATGTTGCAAGAATTAAAGGAGATATGGAATATATGACCCTTGTTGCCAAGTCTGGCATTAAGTAAATGGGAATCCTTTAACTTCTGGATTACTTGGTCTAATTTTTTGCATCTGGGTTGGGGGTGTAGCTCAGTGGTAGATGGTTGGCCTCCAGTGCATGAAGCCCTGGGTTCAATCCCCAGTACTGCCAAAACAACAGCAGCAAAACACACACAAAATCAAAACAAGCAAGCAAAACCCCCACCAATTTTCACGTATGCAATAGTGCAATAAAAACAGACAGCACAACAGTGCTCTACACAAATGATGTGGACCTGAAGCTCTTGTGTCATTCCTCAAGTGAACTAAATCAAGGTTGTGACTGGAATTTCAGAAACTTGTGAAATAAGATAAGAGGAGGACATTTTTACATTTATCAAACATTGGGCGCAACCGACTGTTTCATATACATTTTCTCCTTTTCTTCTTAATATGATGACCTTACCCATAAACGTCATACGACTTAGTCAATTGCTCCAAAACACAGTGGCTAAATGAAGTACTCATTCATTATTTCTCATGAGTCAGCTGGGCAGTTCTGATATGGACCAGAGTTGGCTGATCTTGACTGGGTTTGCTTATGTGTTTTTGATGGGTTGCTGGGTCATAGGGCACTAACCAGGTTAGAATGGCCATGACTGGCCAGGACAGTTTGACTCCACGTGGTTTCTTACCCTCCTACAGGTTTGTTTTATTTTGTTTCTTCTCATGGCAATAGCAGGAGTCCAGGAAAGAGAGGAAAACATACATGCTACTGTCCCCTGGGCCAAAGTGAATCATATTTTGCCAAGCTCTGAGCAGGAGGGCACTTCTACTGGAAATAGATGCATGAACAAATGGGGTCAGTAGGGCACTTTCACTGTTATAATAAGCATTTTTCTTCCTTAGGAATGTAGGCAAGGAGATGGAGGCTTGCAAAGTCATGCTATTGGTCAGGGGCCTGCCCCCGGTGTTTCTTTTTGCTGTCTTCTTTCCAGTGACCTCCTACTTGGAAATGTTTTCTAATCAGTTCTATCTCCCCAATCTTTCTCATGCATGAACTTGAAATTTCATGTAAAATACTTGGGATCAACCAAGTGATCTTAACAATACCAAGTATAATGACCTCATGGGACAGTGAAGGTAAATAGGTAAGGTAGGTCTTACTACTTAGAGAAAATCAAGACAGAACAGATATGTAGATGGATGTAGTTTAAATGGAAGGAAATGAGTTAACATTTATATTTATCCTCAGCATGCTGGCTTCCCTGATTTTGCCTGGGTCAGCTTGCACCTTTCTATGACACTCTTCCTGGAATTTGATACTCAAATCCAAGAAATGCCAGGTCTTGGTGTGTGGTGTTGGCCTGAGACGCTTCCTAATTTGTTGTTCCTAACAGGTGCTGATTTGTGCCTTAAAGAGGACCTGCAGTGAAGAGCACAGCCTGGTCAGAGCCCCATGCACTGTGAGGAATCAAAACTGTCCTCAAGCATCTCTTGGGTGATGGAAATGATAAGAGATTTGACTATCAAGTGCTCTGCCAGAGGGGTGCAGGAGGGATGAGTAACACAGGGCTGTTAATAGATTTTATGGCTTTGTTGAGTACCCCAAACTTTACTTGTTAATTATAAGATGTGGTTTAGTCACTGTTGCAATATGTACATTGTGTTAATTAATTTGTATAGGCTCATACCAAGAAACTTAAAGAATATGAAGGACAATAACTCTTACAAAGGGACTGTAATCACTTTACTAACTTTTCTTTCTCCCTCTTCAGGGAGAAAGGCTTTGAGGCCAGTGCCTCCAGTGTTCCCTGGAAGAGTGATACAACCTGTCTAGGTGTTCAGAAAATGTCTTGAATCAATGAATAAATAAATGATTTTGTTTGCTTCCATATTTCCCTACCTACTTTATTTCCAAAGTACTTCTTATGGACCTTGAATGGTGGCATGTATGGAAATAGGGTTGGGGTTTCTTCTGAACCATTGGTTAATGTTTATTAAGTACCTTTGGGATCCTTTAGTGTCCTATGTATGGTTGAGGATGTCCAGGTTGTGTATGGTTCCTGTGCTCAGGGATCTGACAGTTCTACCTAGCATGTGTTTTATAAGGCATGAGGTCAGGTGGTCTGCTTAGAGATCCAGAGTGACAACATAAAGTGGTAACTTCTTGCAGAGAAGTTTAAATGTGATCTGCACTGCAGACCCAAGTTTGTCTTTTCTGATTCAGCGAGTTCATCAGCTTCTGAGAACAACTGCTGCTCCTGCTTCTCCGAGATGGTACAGAGCCCTCAAGCTGCCACCCAGGTCCAAGGCGATGGACCCTGCAAGTCCAAGCAGCAGTTAAGTTTTTCGGTTCTGGTGTGCGGCTGGCGCCCTCCCCAGACCAGGCAGCGTAGAGCGTCCAGAGACCCAGCCAAGGGCAGGACCCGCAGCGACGACGCCGGGCCACTCCGCCCAG